CTGGAGCAGGTCCCTGATTCCTCTAGGGAGCATTGAAAAGCAGCAGCCGGCCTGGGCCAAGCTCAAGGATGGGAATAAGTCACTTTTGGTGCTTAGATAGGAACTGCAATCTGTGTGTGTCCAGTGTGCTGTGGTGGGGATTTTCATATTTTTAATTTCACATTATCCTCCTAACAGCCCCAGGCCATGGGCATTATCAGTCCCATTCTGAGGATGAGGAAACGAAGGTCTAGGACAGCGAAGCAGTGCAAAGCCACACGATCAGGAATGGCAGGTGGGGGAAGAGTTGGCTAGTGAGTTAGGCTCTCACTCCAAAGCTCAGGCCCCTCCCATGGACTCCTGCTGCCTTCTCTTCCAGGGGCTCCCAGGGCGCCAGCCCCTGCGCTGGGCAGCAGGAGAGCAAATCCTTACTCCCCATCTCCACCTTTTCTCTGCGCCTCCATCTCTGGGGCCCTCGCTCCTTTCACCCCCTGAGGCAGTTCAGAAGGGGCTCTTCATCTTGTCACTTAAATTATTTCCCTTTGAACTTCCACCTCCACCCCAAACATTTCCAGAAATTCCCTTCCCTTCCTTCCTGGCGCCCAGAGTCCTTCCTAATCCACAGAGGAAACCTGACGTCTGTTCATTTGTGTTCAATAAAGTTTCCCCAATTCACACCAGGCTGAGGTTTCTTTGTTCTTGCAGCTCCTGCCACATTAGCTGAATGGGAGAGAGGCCCGAGCAGGGGTGGGGAGATGCTTTGCAAACTAACAAGCCAACAGAATCACCCTTAATGTTGTTCCTTAAGATCATTTTTTAAAAACAACAGCAGAAGAAGATGCCTATGTAGGTGAGTTTTGGTGTTGCTGCCTGTGAGGTCCTATTACAATGGTTCCGTAGGTTCTGTGCCTGCACCGATTCCCGTATGTGCTCCAGGCTGCGGGGAGGAGCTGGGCCTGGCCCTGACCCCTGTGGGCTCGGCCCACGCAGGCTCCACTACGACCAGCTGGCACACGTCTCTTGTCCTCCTGTGTTGCCAGTGAGGTATTGAAGCTAACGCAGTGCCGCTTAGAACACTCAGATCTTGCTCCTCGGGTTCCAGAAAGGCCCTTGAACTCTGAGGAGGAAGAAAGCAAAAAGCATTTGAGGAGGCTGGGGAAAGGACAATTCTTCGTCCCTCTCCTGGGTTGGAAAACGATTGTCTTCCCTCCCTCAGCACTCTTCCCTGAAGTTATGAATGAACTCTGACTTCTGTTTGTCTTCATTAAGTTAAGTGGGGAGGCTAGGCCAATTCTTTGTCCGTCTCCTGGGTTGGAAAACGATTGACTTCTCTCTCTCAGCAGTCTCCCCTGAAGTTATGAATGAACTCTGTGACTTCTGTTTGTCTTCATTAAGTTAAGTGGGGAGGCAGGCAGGGCTGGAGGTCGGGGCCCTGTAGGAGGGAGGAGAGTTTGGGAAGCAAGCGGTGCCCTGGGCTATTCCCAGCCCAGTCAGCAACAGATGTGGATGGATTCATCATCCCAAGTGTCAGGCTCAGGGCCAAGGGCTCGCTACACTTTTTCTCCTCTAATCTTGACCGCTAACAATAGGAGACGGCTATTATTAGCCCATTTTGTAAATAAACAGGCCAAGGTCACCTAACTGGGGTAGGCCCAGGAGTCTACCCAGGTCTGCTTGACTCATCTTCCCACAAGACTGAGGTCTCTGAGTCAGAAGGCAGCCGTGACTAAGCCAAGGACAGAGAGGTCTCTGCATTCCAGCCTCGCCCACTAGTGTGTGCTCTTGCTCTGCCTTTGCATTGTCCAAACAACGTATTAGCATTGCTGTAGATCAGGGCAGGTGTTAACTGGTGACACCCTTCCTACTCCTGTCGCGTGAGGATTGGAACATGACCCCTTTCTCTCTCTCTCTCTCTCTCTCTCTCTCAGATGTTAACTGGCGACACCCTTCCTACTCCTGTCGCGTGAGGATTGGAACGTGACCCCTTTCTCTCTCTCTTTCTCAAAATAGAATTTTTAAAAAAACAGTGTGGAAGTTTTGTAACAACTTTGGGGCATTTGTATGGCTCCAAAGACATACAAATCTGACTTCAGAAGCACCTGTTCTCGGGGACTACAGCTACATACCTTTTTCTTCAGTTTCTTTTAGGTACA